TTCAGGTACCTACTCGGCGGTATCTTACTATAAATAGTCGACAATTACCCCTGAGTAGGCGTGTTTGAAATTCTTGTCCTTCTGGAATTTATTCTAAAGATTTTAACCGTTTAATGGTAGGTATCGACCTGCAAAGTATAGTTCTGGCAAGCAGAAGTATGAACTTTTGTTAAATAATATTTATTATCGTTCTATTTATTATAAACATCTACACAAGAGCGAGTTCAAGATCAGTGAAGCAAAGCGGCATTGAAGAAAGGGACAGATCAGGCAAAAAGGCCTTTGGAAGAATTATTTTATTAACGATTTTACTTCGATGTTCGTATTTACAATTAGACAAGCTATGATTACAGAAATAATTACATAATTCCTTGTCAATGATATAAGATATAAGTAATACTTTCCTTCACAATGAGAACAACTAATAAGTTACCGATGTATTAATGTGAACGTTTTTTTTTAGCCTTATTGGTTGATAGCTTTGTTACTGTTTTAGAAATGATCTTACTGAATTATTTTCATGATAATTACTACGAGTATCATTAAACATTCAATTTAATCTTTCTAATGTTCCTTTAGGAAGGTATAATATTGCTTGTTAAAAGTCGTAGCTTGATCTCCGGTAGACGTTTGGTTTATAGAAGTTTCCAATACTTCAATTCGCTCTTAATAACAAACAATATTTCACGCTAATAAAGAAACAGTTTACATGTGTGATGTCCACGTTACCTGAGGTTTGTCTTGGTGGTGGAACCGTTGTCCACACTGCCTAAAGCATGTTATGGGCAAAACTATAGTCACTAATTCGCTGTGAACGACACTAATTTTGATGATTGTCTCCGGCTCGAAGGACCAAAATGTAGCGCGAAATCAAAATATCGATTTATAATTGGACGCTGTATATTTTAACTTCATAAAAATACATGAAATGCCTATTTCAGTTATGTGTGGAGGTGTCCATGCCGTCTCGTCGCTGAATCTGTCGTGAAAGAATGCGTGTGCCAAAGAATTTTACCGTTGCTTTTGCTAGCGATTGCTCTTAAAACTACTGTTACGAAATAAACCCATACGCCGCCTCGGTACGACGACTATGGGCCGTTGAGAACCCTCTGGTCTTACGCCGATGATGATTCATCCTCAATGCGACTGAGCGACGGAGCGCTAAAGAAACGCCTGGAGGCCGAAGTCGCGAATGGGGATTCCGGAGAAGTCTAGAAGCGGTGACATATATATTTAAACAATGAAGCGGTGACATAGGGTTTCGAGGAGGACTGCGTGCTGTTTAAATAGAGTCCACCTTTGAGAACGGATCATTCAGTTAGTTAAGTCAAGAGAAGTTGCGCCGGAATTATTTTATAATCGGTGTAATAATTATTCGTGTAAATTCTAGTTAGTAAGAAATAAATTGTTGAGTTTTACTCACGCCAGTTTTATTCGTCCGCTCAACGTAACACTGGTGTCGGAAGTAAGATTTGAGATTAATAACTGAAGAAGTCGGAAGAATTTATGCCTGTTGAGACTAGAGCTCAAGCCGCGAAAATGGACGAACAAGTAAACCAGATGATGTCTATGATGCTCGCACAAATGGACGAGAAAATGGGCGCAAGAATCGAAAAAATGGACGCAAGAAACAAGGAAATGAACGAGAAAATGGACACAAGAATGGAAAAAATGGATGCAAGAGGTGTTGTGAAAGAATAATATCTACTAATGTGTGATGTAGAAATATTATCATTTCGAAATTCAAGATTCGGCTCCCTACGGTCGCCTCGTCCTGAAACATCTCACTCGTACTGTAAAATGTGAGTTACCGGACTTATGACGTTAATTAATATTTTGGTACACGCTCTCCAAAATGGTTGCTTTGGAAACACATTTTAGTCCTCAAAATGCTCTTTTAGAGGACTAGTCCTGTAAAGGTATCATAGCAACCTTTATGGGATTATATTTATTAAAGTACCTATTAATTTGAAGCATTGAACGACAAAATTAATTCTTTATTGAAGCATATTTAAAAGAGTCTCCGGAAAAAGACACGCCACTTTCAGTTATTTCTTTCCTCTTTGCAGGCTCCGTAGACTCCAAAACATACCGCCACTTTTTTTATCAAATACTTTTCGTCGTCAGCTTCTTTTAGGAATTTATTCACTTCCTTTCTTGAAAGTACTTTCGATTTTGTTGGCTCGTAACCGACTGAGTTGCGTTTTAAAAAAGCTAACACTTTTGAAAATGTTTCAACTTTGAAGTTTTCCTTTAATGGCAATGTTGCCTTGAGCACTGAATATTTAGATCAAACTGATGATGGCTTTATATATTTTGATTTTTCGTGGATAGAAGTTAACATCACGTCTTCATTCACTGTTAACACTTTATTCTTCGTCTGCCATTCTTTGAGAGCTTGGTACTCCTTTTCATATTGCTCGCGGGATTTAGAAGGAAGCAGATCCAATGTAATTTTTTGAGCTCTCTCGGAAATTGATTCTGGGACTCTTTCACTCATTTGTGTAATACGTAATCACTAATTATTATAAATTGTGCTTATGTCATAGTACCCCAATGACAACTGTAATCTAGATTAGACGACCTATTTTTAAAAATTAAAAAATTGAGATTTTCTGTGTATTGAAGAGCTTTTACCAAAAAATTATGTAAGTAATTCGTACGCAAAAAGTTTCAGCGGACTCATCTTGTTAAGGACTCGGCTCCTTCCTCGCCTTATCCTTAATTAGCGATTCGTCCGCTAAAACTTTATTTTGCATACTTACTGCTTAAATAACTATTTTAGTATACGTTCCCAAAAATAGATAATTTATAGGTCTCATTTAAGTCCGTAAATGAATCTTTTTCGAACTCAATCCAGAAAATTATTTTTCGTATTAATCGTTGCTGTTTTTTTGGACTAGTACCTAAAATACAGTTTTTGCGGACTAATCGTTGGTGTTTTTAGGAGTTTTAACTAAAACATGTTTGTAACACATACCTAAAAAGGTTTTTGCAGACTGATCTACTATTTCGGATTTGGCAACGCCTCGCCCATAATATAAACGCATTTCGTCCGCAAATACTGTATTTTAGGTACTTGTAACATAAATAACTATTTTTGTATTAAAATACTTTTGCGTTGAGTGGTTGTTTATAGCATTTTTGTCAAATTGTTTTTGTATTGAAATTTAATTAGTTTATAAATCTTTTTTTTTTGTTACTGCCCATTCACAATGGACATAAGGCATAACAAGTACATAAAGCTTACATAAATACGTAAAGTTGAAACGATGGAAAACGTGTACCCCTGTTCACAGTGGACGAACGTAATTCTTATGCTTATGAACGTTTTATGTAATCCTTGTGTGCGTACACAAAGTTGAAATAAGTTCAACTTTATGCACGAATTATGTCAAAATTATGTTAAAATCTAGGGACTTTTGAATGCTACTATTGAATTCCCTTTGACAGTTGGCACTTGGCACTTTACACCTTTGATTATATTATATAAATTATAATCAAAGCTTCACACTGCGAGTCTGTTCTGTACTGCGAGTTGTCAAGTTCGAATATCGTATGAAATTGTAGGTTAGATATTTTTTTTGACTCAGTTTGAGGTTAGCCGTTTCTATGTTTAGCCGGGAGTTATTCCGTTCTGCGTTTGCGCAGTTTAACAATTCTTACAGAGTTCACTCTGTCCACTGTGAACGTAGATAAGCATAAGCCAGACACAAACCAAAAACGTAAATTATGTTATGCGCTCGTTCTTATGTCTTATGTCCATTGTGAATGGGCAGTTAAATTTAATTTTGACGCTCGCACAAGTTATGTATAAAAATTCCACTTTCTTCGTAGGCATTATCATGTGTTGAAGGGTTTTGGTCAAACTTCACGCCTGAACTTTTATCGAACTTATTCCAAATTTTACAATTAAAGATAGTCTCTATGAAGTTATTTCGTAAGACCTGACCATGAATTAAGCTTTAAGGCTCTATTAAATTTATATACAAATATAAAATACAAAAAAAATATTATTACGTATTAGAGATTTGAACAAAATATTTTAATTATTCTGTCAATAACTTGAACAGTGCTCATTAAGATATTTGGATTTTGAAAAGTAAATGTAACATCCGAATAGGGCACTCAACCGCTTGTGTGGGTACAGTTTTGCCTAAGAACGAATTTTTGTTTCTAGATTTTTCTTTTTAATTTATCATTAAGAGACGTTCTAAAATGAAGAACACAATACTCCTCAGTGGGCCCGTATGAAAGAAATACCAATAAAATGTAGGTAGTTGGGAGACAAAAAGTGACGCTAATCAAAACTGCTGACAAAACTGTATTAAGCCCTGATCCGTCGTCCGCGTCGTTGAAAAATACATACAACTGGGATCCATGTAATGATTATATACGCGAATATGTATTTGTTTTATTTATATATACCTATATTTACCGAGAGGAACACAAAACAACTCGACGAAAATGGACAATTTTTTATGACAAACACCTGTTTTAAAAATAAGCAAAAGAAATTAGAATGACTATTATTGTATGAATTTCTTTTTAAACTAGTTAGATTAAGGGCAAATTTGCAACGTAAACAAAAAGAAAAATAATTGAAATGACTAAAAATCAAGAAAATTTAAATCAGTGAAACTGAATTCTTTCTTAATGTCATTCTAAATAATTAGAACTTGAAGAAGAAAGTTCAGGGTGTGTATGTTATTGAAAATGTTTACTAATTACAAAATCAACTGATATATATGGTACTTCGAAAACAAATTTGTAGGTGTGGGTGAATGAAAAGCTATTTATTAATTTCATTGTAGTTATTTTTGTACGAAGAAATTATTTTTATATAGTTCTAAGGTTAAAGGTAATTTTCATTGTAGTAAAAGGAGGGTACCATATCAATGAAGACACCCACGTTGTCTGTATTGTCGCATGCGTCAGATTATTGATAGAAATGTTTGCTTCTGCGTAAGTTCGTTCCAATTCTATAATCGTCTTTAAACAGTAGAATTAAAGGAACTGTATAATCGTGTAGATGGTGTGAAGTGCTACATCATGGTTCGGCAAGAAATGGCTGTTCATTTAAAATTATTGTTAATTCGTGAGTATTTACATTTAAAAAATATAGATATTGATTGGGACATGAAAAATGACATTTAGAACATACCTACAGCAAGTAACCCAATTTTTTGTTTCATTCTGGAGTAGGGTAATACGCCTTTTACGAACGAAGCACTCCATGCTCAAATATTAAAAAATTGTACTCGTAGTTTTGTTTCTAATTAACTCGAATGCTATTATTACGTACATTATTCTTAGAATTCCTTTTTATTTTTTTTAGGTTGTTCAGTATATTGAATCCCTCAAGCAAAAGCAATTTTTTAAAGGCGATGACACAATTTGCTTTATATGTAAAAATATGAGACAAATGTCTTTTCCCGTATTTATTACTCTAACGTGCATGAAATTGTGTACTTTTCAAGTTTAAAATTTTTAAAGAGAAAATAAAAAATATGTGAGGGACGGCTTGTGTGTTTGAAACCTACGTATCTGGTTTTGTTTGTATAAAACTTTCGTAAAGATGGTTTTCAACATTTAAAAGAATTTGCAGCACACAAGGGTGTGAGCTTTTTTTTAATGTGTAAAATTCAGGTTAGGCGTGTTAGTGTCCTTTATTCTATCGTATATGTCAAGTGTTCTTAAATTACGTTGGCACTAATACTATGTCGTTAGAAAAAGTAATGTCTATATAATATCTTGCTTGCTTTTTGTCTATGACCGCAGTTTATTTAGCTAAGCAATTCAGCATTCGTGTTTCTTACATAGCTTAGGTAGCGCATGAAGTTGTTTTTACAGTTTGTAGAATTTCAAAGGATATAATTTTGGGGCCATCACCTGAAACTGAACTGCTTATAAATAGGCTCGACTTTTTTTGATAAAAGTTGTAAAATACTTGGGTTTCTGCATATAAATTTTTACAGCAAAAAATAGCTTAAGTTATGCACGAATAGTGAATAGTCTTGAACAAAAATATAAAATACTCAGTTTAGTTCTCTATGAGCTGAGACTCTTAGCCTTTCCTAGATGCTTCACTATTCATTTATGACAGTTTTAAATTTTATTTTTAAACACTAAATAATTAGACAGTATTACATTGTTTTGTTTGATTTTATGCTTATTAGAAAGTTTATATTCATTCATAAGAGAAAAGATAACAGCGGAAAATGCAAAACAGATTTCGTTTCGTGGTTCAGACTGGTAACATCAGCCATCATGATGCGTAAGTTTTTTTCAATTTTAAAACCTCAGTACGGATTACATTAGGGCATTAGATTTACCGAAATTTGTTTTGGCATTTTATTAGATAGACTTCCTAAATTGTCAACGAACACCATGACGAGATAAGCTGAATTCCAAAGCAACTTACTTCACAATATGACATTTTAACAAATTCATAACTCATTAAGGCTAGTTTATAGTAACGTTTGTCTGTTAAGGTAATACCTATATTGATTTGCAATTGAATTTAATAATAGAGTTTATATAACAGATAGGTGAGAACACGTGGGTAACAGTTACTGAGCTGTCAGTTTAGTAAAATTAGTGGTTTAGCCGAATCACCACTTAGCATCTCGTTTGAGGGGAAACTAAGTATACTCGCACAAGAGATATAGTGGTTCTATAACTTTGACTCCTTCACTATTTTTGACAAATATTAGATGGAATTTATGACATCATCCCAAGCCTAAATGGAGGCTCTTACTTGGACTTAGCTGACACGCTTATCCTAAATGGAATCTTAGTTTAAGTTATTCTTTGTTAATAGACAAGGAAGTTGGAAAACTTACAGTCATAAAACCGCCATATTGTGCCACTATACAGAAATCAATCAATTAAGGTACGTGTCCACTGGAGAGTGACTTGGCGAGAATTCGCGAGAGTTACTTTCAAGGGCTTGTCGATTTGAGAGGATATTTTGGCAAATTTTGCTCGCCGATAGATGTCGATCAGACAAAGCTCTCAAAACCCTGTCCACTACACAGTTGCACTTGCGAGGAAATGGACCCTCTTTACTCGAACCGACAAAGAATTTATGATTTTACGAGCCTTTTGTTAATTTATTTTTCACGAAATACGGTAAAATATTGCAGCTGTGAAAACAGGTAGTAAGAGGACATAAATTATTATCTGGACCTAAAATTGTGCTAAGAAATACGCAAATACACGATGCTATTTCTATTCATGAAAGAGTAATAGTAACATTACGATTTTTTTGTATCAGGTACATATGTAAAAGTATTATGTAAATCATTGAACAAAATAAGGTGTTCTCCATAGGTTATGTCACGTACATTTTGGGGTTTTTGGACCTTTCTTTTCTGTGTTACAGGTTGTCACATTCATATGATCCCACCCTCTATTATAATGTCATATAATTTTAATGTAGAGTTGATTTTGATTAAATCAACATTGCAATTATTACTCTTATTTAATATTATGTAAAATCTTCTTTCCACATATCTCTTAAAAATGTAAAAAATTGGTCGAAAGTCGAAAGAACTATGAAACATATCTAACATTTTCGAGTTGAGTTTTTTCTTTACACAATTTTGTGATGACGTCATCAACATTTTTGCAAGGTCACGTATATCAACTTGGATTGGTGCAGTATAATACTAAAAATAACAGTAGATGAATATGAATGCAGTGATAAATCACAATTAAAAACTCAACATATTTTGCACACTTTGGATAGAATTTATTCTGAAAAATTTTGAGATGACGTCATCAAGTTTTTGTTGGGAATAAACATATATGTTTTGATTAACAATTTACCACGCTTACAATAACCTTAAAACGTCTGGAAGATTTCAAAGTACCTATTCAGTTTTGCAATTCTTGTGTTATTCAGGAAACTAAAATCACGCATTCATTTTTTTTGAGTCGCCCTGTATAAGCAAATCTAAAAAATATGAACACAATAATAAATTATTATTATAGTATTATACTGATCATATATATTTTGCACATTTCGGGTGGAAATTATTCGGCAAAATTTTGAACTGACGTTATCAATTTTTTGGAGGGGATAAGCAAATATATTTTGATTAAAAGTTTATTATGCTTATCATAACTTTAAAACAGCTGTAAGAATCAAAATTAAATTGTAAAATGTTGTTTTATGTTTTCTTTTCCAAAAATCTGGAATCGACCCAGTACTTTTGGAGATTATCTGTCTAATAAAAATCGGGACGGCAGACAGACGGACAGACAGACAGACGGAAACTAGAGACTTATTTTTTCGTACTCTAGGGGTCATGAAAGGTCGAGAAAACGTAAAAGTAGAGAATGGGCTGACGGAAATAACGATGTTTGAAAATTGTTAATATTTTAGTTTTGTTTTTATAAACACTCAGCATATTAGAAATTAATTTAATTGATACCATAGCAAAGCACGTACTTTTGTTTACCTCCCCGTAAAATATTATAACACAGATCTTAAAATTAATACGATTGCGATTTTTTTGTGAACCGCTTCATTACAAAAATTTTTTAGAAAATTAGAATTAGGCATTCTATTTAAAAAAGTACGTTGAATATTACGCCTCAAAAACAGAACACTCTGTATAGTTGAAAATAATTTTAGTGTATGCTACGCGATTTCTATAGTCTTTTTTTTCCATATCGTGCAATTAGTTCTGCAGTTTGGTCTTTTGACCATCCAAATTTGGCCATGGCAAAGCTCACCACTCGCGGACAGAACTGTAGGAATTCGAAACGTGTTCGTATTGTGAAAGTACCTCCAGAGAGGCACAGCTTTGGTTTCCAACTAGAGCCCAAGTTCTAGCAAATTTGCTACCCTGTCCACTGCTCGGATACACTAGCGAGAGAAACGAGCGATTTGTACTCGACCGACAAATAATTTATGATTTTATGAGCTTTTTGTTAATCCTCTTTCAAGAAATTCAACTGAAATGTAAATGCTGGGAAAACAGGTAGCAAAAAGGGTATAGGTAAATTGTCTCCCGGGTTAGATTGGTAAGAGCGCTTAATACGACCGGCACCTGAAGATTATCATCCCGGCAGGTTATGATTCATCAAAGGACAATTACATGCAATGTTGTAGTGTGTAAAAACATCTATAAAATTATTGTCCCTAATAATTATATTTTCAGGTGAGGCAGGTATCAATTTATAAAAACACTTGTGGATAAACACCGAAAATAAATATAAATATTAATTTTTGAATACTCATGCTACTTAACAATACATTTGTAGTACCTAATATGTAAATTATTATTAAAAATTCATTTAAAAACGTTATTTGAATAATAAAAAATGAATTTACTTCGTTGTGCATAGTTTAATCTCGTACTACAACAAAATAATAATAATAATAATGAAGTATAATCAGAATCACTTATACAAACTATGATGTTTAATTATAAATTAAAAAAGTTAATCTAGTCTACTTTTCACATTACTTGCTTCAGATTTACGACAAATGAACATAATTTAGTCATTTATTTTCGTTTTACATTTTTTTTAGTATTTAATAATTTCATAAAAATGTGTTACCTATCTCAAAACGCTGTATAAATGTTGAAGTCAGGTAAACGATCAGATTTGGCCGAATTGCGTAGTCCTTTTCACGACTGTTTGCATAGAATCATAAACGTGTAAAATAAGTCGGCTTTACTCGAGAAATGATTTATGATGAACTGCTTACTCTCGGGGAATACTTCCCCAATTCGAAGCTTCTTCACACGGACAGTATCTCTCGCAAGTAAACGCAGTTTGGCTTGTCCACTGGAGAGAATATGGTTCGCGGCGAGATCAGCCGATCAGTGTTTCGTCTTTACTCGACTGGACTCGGAGCTCTCCAGGGCTGATTTTCAGGCGATTTCTCGCAAGTGGACACTTACCTTTAGAATCAAGTGCTAGAGGAAGACAAGTATTTATTGTAACTATTTATTTACTGTCATTGCAGTATTATATAGCAGTGGAACAGAAAGATTTTACATGTAAAAACAGAAACTTGAAAATATTGGCTCCCCTAATGATTTTAGAGCAAAACATTAAATACAAAAATTCTAGAGAATAAAAAAAAAAATCGCGATTTGTGACAAAATAATTCATCGACAGTTCATTAATTTGTCACTAATTACTGAATTTTACGCCTCTTGCTCTTGAAAAGTTAAGTGGATAAAATGGTGTTACTGCGGGTCCGGAAAATTTCAGGAACTCTTGTAGCTCTTTACTCAAACTGCAAATTCCAGGACCATCAACAATCGAAAAAGTCCTGCAACAGTTTGAAACGCAAGGTTGTACTGTAGACAAATTCTTTAGGTAACAACGGAATAATCCTGGTGCTTGTGTAGAAAAAAAATTGAAGCTGTTCTTGTGTTTCAACATTTAATCTAAGTTAGTGTACTGATTTTAGTTGCAAATAAAACATGTTTTAAAATTTTTAATCCAAAATAAGAATAATTAATCTAATTAAACAGTCAAAATGGCAAAATAATCAATTTTATTTGATTGATACATGTCATATCTGTTCTAAAATAATTAGGGGAACGAATATTTTCAAAGTTCCAAAAACGATCCTACATCCGGTATGTAGGATCGAGAAGAAAAGTTAGAAAACATATTTTGGTAAAACTAACGTGTTTCTTGTTTGATTTGATAGTTGCGCTCAAATAACTGTCAAATACCTAATATGGGGGTTCTGTGGTCTCAAATAGCTGCAATGGCAGCATCCTTATTTTAACAATAAATTTCATGGTCTACTGTCGTCTACTGTTGTTCGTTGACAAGTGTTAGAGTGATTTTTAGGAAATCCACTAATGAAATTACTTAGTCAGGTAATATATGTGATACTTTTTGGATCATATTTCTACATAAATCTGATCTTATCTTGATATATTTATCGAATTTTCACTGTGTCGTGTTTTTTATTATACTGGATTTAATTTCGCTAGATATGAAGATATAAAAGAAGATTATATAGGAAAATGATTGCTTGAGCTAGAGGAGTTGATAAAAAATCATAATTACTAAATCCAATTCAATTGCTCGAAATGTGTCAAAATTTTACTTTTATTATGACCTAATCTGTTGGCCATTCTTTTAACATTGTATTCGACTACGGCTCATGAAGTAGCAATAAAACACACTTAATATAAAGTGATTAAATTAAACTTTGTTTTTGAGTACATTTGATTCTGATGTTCTCTGTAAAACTCACTATATACCGACAAATTAGACAATTAAGATTTCAACTGGCGTTCAATTTTTTGAAAAGTTGGAATCCAAGCAGGGAGTTATTTACTAGGCGTAATAGCGTAATGTTAAATAAATCACTTTTCAAAAAAACTATAATACCTAATAAATATTTTCATACTCTTCAGGTCAAAATTCAGCTGGAAAATACAGTACAGTGTAGTGAAATAAATTACGCTTGACATACTCATCTGAGTTTGCAACTACTCGTAGTAAACAATATTAAATTAAACTTTAAAGATTTTGACGTTGTAGATAAAATTTTGTAAGTTACACAAGGGCCAAAAGAGTATTACCAAATTCGTGCTCGTAAATAACATCAATACTTTAAGTAAAATTGAATTGAAAACATAACACGCATCTTATCTGTCTACGCTTTATCGTCGAAAGTGGTTATCAAAATTGAAACATCTTTTATCGTATTGACTATATATAGAATGAAACTGATTTGATTTGTGGAACATTTCGTTTTACAGACAATATTTCACTTGTTGCTGCCGTATCGACTGGTGGTAAAATTCAAGTTATACGCCATAAAAAGTTGCATAATTTTAAAAATAACACATATGGATGTCCTACTTTATATAATCCAAACACATTATTTTAGATACAACGATATTGTCACTGGTGTCGGCATTAACACTTCCAAGTCAGGTATCTCCTAAATCCATTATAAAGTTAAGTTCCTCAACTACAGAACCTGGAAGTGGTTCTTTAGTGACACCAGCAAGTACGGCCTCTAAAGATACAGACAGTGAATTAGCTGTATATAGATATATTAATAGCAATACTGGAACATGTATTCTGCTACAGGCCGATGCTGTGGTTGAGGTAATTGTGTTGAATGAAAGAGAAATAAGAGCATTAATATTTTTTTTTAGGTCAACTTCCTACTTAATAATTTAGATGAGCAGGCAGATTCCTACATTCCTAAGGATGCGCTAGTTGATGGAAATTGTAAGAATGAAGACGCTTCCTTTTTGAGTATATCTTGGAAAGGGTACCGATTGTTGTTGAATTTTGCTAAGGTAAGTTATGTTTTCATACGTCATCATATGTATATGTTACATTATAAATATTACAGACACCAGGAGGAGAACGCTGGTACATAGATAACGTTGAATTGGCTGTCAGTCCGGACTTGTATCAATTACGTGGTATTCAGACTCATGGTAAGTTGATTATAATAACTGATTCACAAATATAGTCACCAATAACCTATATAGGTAAACTGATAAAACTCTACCATAAAGAAATCTTAATTCCCACACCTATTGGTAAATCTTATGCTTGTGAAGAAGTAGATATTGATCTCATACCAGATGAAGAAGATAATCCTCCACCAGGACTACGCGGATCTTTATTGTTACGGAAATTGCAACTTCAGCCATTTATCTACAAAGGAGAAAACTTTGAGGCAGCATTTGAATGTAAACCCCAAAGAACACACCTAGATGAAACTGCGCCAATTGCAGTCGGCTCAACCTTAGCCATAGCTGTTTTAATGACAGTGACTGGGTATGGAATTTTTAGATATTTTAAGATTAAAAACGTTCAGTATAACACCATGGAATAAAGTTTTAATTTTGGCATGAATTGTTACATATCGTTTGTTGTTGATTAGAGTTTTATAAAATGTTTTTTTGACATATAACTTAACACATAACGAAGTTATTGATCATATTTAAAGCTCTTTATAGAAAATTATCGGTTCTAAAACAGTTTTTAGAAAATCAACAGCGAATGCTCTAGAAAACTAACTGTTACCGACTTATTTTTTGTTCTATTCGTATTTGATTTTAGTTTGGGCTTTACATGATACGATTACGTATTTTTGAATTTATATATACATATTATGTTATGTCAGTCTACGAGTTGGTCCATTTAGTTCTAAGTTCTCACGAAGATATTCAAAAAACTCAGACGAATTTTGAACACTGTAGTAGGTTTATAACCCTTAAATTTACATGGCATGACTATAATTGGCAAGTCACAATTACCAAAATTTGTTAGATATTACAGTGTTTTTTGTGTATAACTATTATCTTAACATACGCAGCTAAATTTGATTATTTATAGTAATTTTCAAAGCCCTGCTTAATCAAAATTTTAGCATTTTGTAACGAACAATGCGCCAAGTGAGTATGGTTTTTATACCTTGACTGAGATTTGGATGATTACGGTCTAATTAACAATTAGGAATTTTAAGTTAAAAAAAATGCAAATTAAAACTACTATCTTCTAAGTATTTGTGGTTTGTAAATTATATGACCTAAAATATCCTGAATTAATAATATTTAATTATTAAAACAAAATTGACATTTTGTGATGAAATTTTCCATACTGTCCTGTAATGTGTCTAAAAATAACGTATCACAAAGTAATCTCTGAAGCTCAAATGTAATTTTAATTGTACACATATCTCCGAAAAAGACAAACGTGTGAATAATCTATATACAGTATTTCGAATGAAGTTGTCTTCAGTCAATAAAATTGTTTTTATACATTCTATTTTCATTAATGCCATTGGACTATGTAATAAACTCAAGTTTATCTCAATAAGTGAGTTATCAATTTTTGCAAAAAGACTGGGCTTGATATTTTAAGCATCTACTGCAATTTAACCATCGATACGTCAAAACTTATTTATTTTTTAATGTATTTATTAATTCTTTAAAAGCATTTACTTGCTTCCAATGTCAGGATCTATATTTATTCCTCAGTTTTCCATTTTGTGTAATAAGTACTGGAGCTTTAAATACTGTATGCTCTTTTTATAATTACGGTCATCTTACCATCGAAAACCAGAAATTTCAGAAAAAAATAGGTACCATTAAACTTCTGTGGCCAAGATATCAGAACACACAGCTATGTCTTCGAGGTAAAGTCCGGCTAAAGATGTGCGTTTACAACCGTTCATTTTACAGCGGATCCTTCATAAAACGCAATAAATGCATGCAATGGCACGTTAGACCGACAGTTAAGTAGGCTACGTGCAGCACTGAAATAATTTTTTTTTTGTTATTGTTACAAATTGTTGGTACTTGTTATTTTTAGGAGAAGGTCATGACCAGGCAAGTGGATTCTTGCCCCCTTTGTGACGAACTCATAAAAATTACAGCAACTTGAGTACCACTTAAACAATAATCACACGATATCTTTAGCCGAGCTATAACATAGATACTCCTATATATTTTCTGAAATTTGTTATTTCTGTCGATAGGGTAATAGTAATTTGCATAACCATAGATTTATCCGTGTTAAATTTAAATCTCTAGTACTAGCGTTTATTTTATTCGTAAATTTAGTTCTACCTTCATCTTCAGGCATGATTTTACTACAAGAATTCATGTACGTTGTATGTTATGCATACTGTTTGATATTAAGACAGGTTTAAGGCGACTACAGTTTTGAACCGTTTATGATATTTGGCATATCGAAGTTTGACAGTTAAAATAAAAAATGAAAATCTCTTTAGAACCTCTAAGGAAGTATTCAGTTTGATTAATCAAAATTTGATACTATTGGACAGGTTAATGTTGCATAATAACTTAGTTTTTTTCAAAATCATTAAGACGCGCTAAATGTGTTTAAGCAAATACTGTGAAAATTATATGAAATACAATTTTTTTATAGATACATATCATGTATTCGTATTCGTGTTTTTTAAGTTTTGTGGAGGATAATATAAGGTCTTTTTTGAAACATGGTCGGCCTTATCTTTTAGAAAAATAATAATTAAAACAAAGATGAGTTGTGATTACAGTAAACTTGTTTTATAATGTTGCAATGAGAATTATCTTTGGCAAAATGTCCTAAGATGGTGTCGTTATGCTGACTTCTTTTCGAATTACAAACAAAATCTTGAAGAAACTAAAACATATTTTTTCTACAAGTACTTTTTTAAGAAAGTAATTTTTAGGTGACAGTTATTATTATTATGGCGTTCATTTTTAGTAATCATTTTTACCACTGTTGTGAACTAGAAAATGTCAACATTTAAGGCAGAATTTAAAAAATGTACAATATTAATATATATCACATTGTATTCTTCACATGTGAAACAGTTGGATTTTTAAACGTTTTGCCTTTTTAACATTAGTTTTGGCATTACGGCAAAACAGGTGTTAAATATCAAATGCCTGACGTTATTTCCACCCAGAAGCTTACTAACATATCTACTGTATATACAACGTGGTTTGAGCGAGGGAAGAAATGACGTCCCAGTATAGATCTTCTAATGTCATTTTCTTATGTATAAATTCTATAAAATAATATGGTCTAAAAATCAATTTTACTATCGGACTTAAAATCTGAATGTTTTATGAATTATCCGGATTTTAAGTTCTTTTTACATTTTTTTAACTTAAATTTGGTGATATTGGAAGGTGCTTAAATACATAAGTGCATAAAATGTAGTTTTGCACTTGCTGTTTACCATTTCCCCACAATTGATTTCGCTAAAAAAAACTACGTCAAAAATATCAATGTTCTTTATATGTATATGAAATTTAAAGAAAAACCGTGTGGTGTTTTATCGTGTAATGATGTTATTTCCTTCTCATGTAACAAAATAGGTAGTTGTCGGTTTCTGGGACCATTAACCAAATGATTGTACGGAGACGGCTTCAAATATTCTTTAAAAATTTATAGTAATGAGACGAATCGATCTCTTGGTGAAAATAAATCAGACGATAGATAATAGCAGCACAGGCTAGTTTCTTTTAACAGCTATATATTGTTCTATAAGGCACTATTAACTTTTTATTACATCAAAAATGAAATCGAAACTTTCTTTTAATATTACTTTTTGTAAGATTGCAGATGTAAACCGGTACCACGATCTACGAAAGCAACTACTTACTTTAAAAGGAAATAACTTTTAGTGATACTTAAACTAAATCATACAAATTCATGCAAACATTACTGTTTGAGGTTTAGTTAACATGAAAACGGTGAATTCTATTATGTTTAAGACTGACTAGTAAGCACCTAATCGTTAGAAGTTAGAACTAAGGCTACTTAACATACGTTACTCAGCTGTACTATAAATGTTTCAAAACAGCAATAATACTTCAAATAAAGCGCAAGCAAGCTGAACAGTGTGACGTATATTAGATAGAATTCTAGTCAAAGGTAAATAGTTAATGTATTTTTGACAAGTTTTTACACAATGGGGAATGGTAAACACAAAAACTGAAAATCTGAAGGCACAAATCTGTGTCATTAGACTTTTTACGATCTTAAAAGAGTTAGTTAAATTTTTATTGTTGTTTGCTTTAGTTAAAATTTATTTCATTATTCATAATTACTTAATGTGTTTCATACTATAGAGGTGGACTTGTTATACTTAAATAGTGTATTTAAGCATCGATGTGAACTTGTTACACTTATTCGAATATTAGTTCTCTAATACTTATTCTGAAATAGATACACGCATTAGACAGTGATTTAAAACAATAGTAGAAATTGCAAATTTCACAGTTTCACTCAATAAATATATTCAAAAAGCATCGTAACAAATATTATTTGTGATAATTTAAAGTAATAATGTGGTGATATTAATGAAAGTTATTTATATGGTTTGTATATAGATTAAACAATACTTATCATAAAAAAATAGTGACATATCTAAATTGCAGAGTAATTTTAAACTATAGACTATGCAATAATTTTTAGTTTTTATAATTAAAAATAGTGCCATATCTAAATTGCAGAGTAATTTTGAAGTACAGATTATGCAGTAATTTCTAGTTGTAATCAAAATATGTTTCGGTTTCTTAAAAAATAATTGTTTTTTTAATACATGTTATATGTGTTTCAAATTACTCTTTTTGCAATTTATAGCAAAACCTTTCATTTCTTATGAAAAGTAAGTGAAGTGATGATATTGAGCAGCCTATACAATGGGCAAAGTAAAGTGGTTGTGAAAAAAATATTTAAAATCTTCACGCTCAAATTCACTGCTTCTTATATGAACTGAAGGTTTTACCTTGAGCAATGAGTTTTGTGTAGATATATTTATTAATGTATTAAATTTTATTCGGTAATGTAAATATTATAAAAAAGTTTAATAAAGTAAGGGGACAAAATGCTTTATGAAAAAATATAATAAAAAAATCAAAATAAAATACTTAAACAAGCAAATTATTACCAATATATTTGTAAACGAAAGATATATTTTTTCATAAAGCCTTTTGAGAATTTGCCATGGTTTGTCTTCCATAAAATAAAATAATATAAAATGGGTGTGTAACTTCGTGCATGTGTACATTGCCACTGATATCATAAATTACATATTATTATAATTATTTAGGGTTAATTAGAAATAAAGATACACTGAAATATAAATTTATTTCAATCTCTATGCCTATATTTCCTATTAAAGAGAGATTCAAATGTATAGAACGACTCGAAATAAGTGAAAATGATTACAAAATTTTGTATTATATACAGGGTGTCTCAGAAATAAGTACATTAATTTTAACCAGTAACAGAACTCGTGAAACGGAACAACTTTTTTATCTAGCATTTTTTCGAAAACTCAAGTCGAATTTCGAATTTTTCCACCCATATATTCACGAGCCGTCTATGTTCACCTTAAATAATAACTTAAATAATAGCAACACTACAACAATGAAGAAGGTACCGTAGCAACCGTTTTGACACTGACAATCATTTTTATGTCAATGTTTTTATTAAACGTTGTCTCTTTAAAGTTTGTTTGGCACAGATTTCTAATTTATAGACGAAATGTGTTGAAATGGCTTTGTTTTCAAATCTGGAATGCACCGATATCGTTTTAACGTACGGTGAAGCTCCGGGAAGCGGCACTCGCGCCCAACGAATTTTTTCAGAAAACCTCCCAAATCGTCTGCCAAATGTGCGCCGTTTTAAGAACGTTGCAGTATATTCGAGAGTACGGATCTTTTAAACCGGCACCTCAAAATCGAGGTAAGTTACGTAGTAATAGAACTGCTAATATTGAAGAGGCTGTTTTGAAGTGTCGAAGCTCGACCGGGCACTAGCACGTACCACTGTCTAGTGTGATGTATCGGAGAGTAATATTTGGAGGATACTCAGAGAACAAATGTACCCCTTTCAGGACCAGAAAGTTCAGTTATTGAAACTAACAGACTTACCACGTAGGCAAAACTTTTGTGAGTGGGTTAATAGAAAAATAAACGAACAAGCAAATTTTGTATCTCTTATACCATCAACTGATGAGGTCGGTTACACGAGGGAAGGTGTTCAACACCCACATTTGGGCCGATGAAATTCCGTACGCCATTAGGGAGCAGGATTTTCAATTTCTCTCTTATAAATATTTGTCACATTGACAAGACTAGGAAAATACGTATCCTAGTAACTGTTTTTGACCATAAATTATTAATTATAATAATTATTAGTGTCCATGGGTGACTGAGGATCCATGGGTGGGTAACCTTAATTGGGGTATAACTTTAACAATTTTTAGCTTGATAATTAAAAAGTTCTTGACAAAACTCTACTAAAAAGAGTTGTTGAGTTCAATGAGCTCTATAACTGATTAAAATTAATGTACTTATTTCTGAGACACCCTGTATATAATCATTTCTTCTGTTACCCATAGGGTTGGTTTCATACTTAATACACAAAGTTCTTCCATTTTGTTTTATCTCTTGCTATGTCTTTGGGCCAAGTATCTCAAGATCTGCCTCGTTTCTTCACGTTCGTTATTCTTGTTTTCCGCACTCTGTTGACTGGTCTCTTTGGGTCCATTTCTATGAATGTCTCTTATTTTATTGTTGCAATAAGCGTCTTTATCTGTGAAGACATCAGTACCGGATAAAAAAAATTGTAAACGTATTTAATTATTATTATTAAGACCCACCACTGACCCGGAAAGGACCGGCATTCAGGCAAGACTTCTATCATTACGGGTATTAAGACCAAGTAATGATATGCATTGATTAGATTAACAAAACAACTTTCGAGATTCTAGAGTTACAGCATACAAATTAGTCTGCTATTATTCTCTAATCTCACCCCATCCCCAAAAGTCTAGAGTAACTACCGACGATTTATCCTCGCATCACTTGGAAAGTGACCTACACTACTCTGACCTACTGGTGCTAATCTAATCTGACTGACATGATCAGACTGTTCGAGAAACTTACGAACAATACGACATGTTCCTAACAAAACAGCTTTTTGAATTTTGACAATTATTGAATCATTCAAATACAAAGACTTTAAATTCTCAACTAAGCTATTTGGGACTACACCTACATTAGAGATAACTAAGGGTAGAATTGAATTTTTTTTAAGATTCAACATGGATTTCATTTCTATCGATAATTGTAGATATTTTGAAATCTTGGTGTGCTATGTTTGAATAATGTTGTTTGTGTTAGGAATAGCAATGTCAATGAGAATGGCTTCGTTCGTGTTTTTTTTGATAAGTATGATGTCTGGTCTGTTAGCTGTAATGTTTAAGTCTGTAAGTATTGTGCGATCCCAGTATAATTTGTATTTGTTATTTTCAAGGAACGGAGATGGAATGTAAGTGTAATAGGGTGTCGTATCTTCGATTAAGTTCATAAGTGTTGCTAATTCTTTGTGAATGATTTTGGTTGCGTTGTCGTGTCTAGCTTTGGAGTCAGTTTGTGCCAGGATGCTGCAGGAGGAGATTATGTGCTGGATCGTTTCAGGTTTTGCTTTGCAGAGGCGACAGCAGTCGTTTCTTATATTCGGATCTTTGATGATGTATTTTCTGTAATTCTTGGTATTGATTACTTGGTCTTGAATAGCAAACACAAATCCTTCTGTTTCGGCATACAAACTTGATTTTTTTTAACCGAATTAATGACATCTTCTTGTTGACATGAGTTTCTTCTAAGTCTTTGTAGAATTTTCCATGTAGTTGTTTTTGTTTTAGCCCACTTATTATTTTGTCTATTGTGTGGGGGGTGTGGATTTCTTCGGTTTTCGACAGATTTAAGGGTGTGTGGTTCAAATCTGCTCTTGTGATAATGCGAAACATTTCATTTCTTTCTGCTCGTTTCAAGAAATGCTTCTTCAGATCTGAGATTTGTCTCTGATATAAGTTTTCTAGGTTCTGGAAACCCCTTCCTCCATTCTGTCTTGGTAATGAGAATCTTTCAATGGACGATTTTGGATGATGCCTTCTATACTGTGTGAAGATTTTCCTTGTTGCGATGTTTAAATTTTCAAGATCAGTTTTGGACCATTTAATGACTCCAAAAGAATATGTTAGCAGTGGAACGCAGAATGTATTTACTGCTTTCATTAAATTTTTTCCATTTAACTGTGTCTTCAAAATTAATTTTAATCTCGCTAGGTGTTGATCTTTCAACTGTGTTTTCGCTTTGGTATGATTGATGTTGGAGGATTGACAGAAACCTAGATATTTGTATGTATTATTTCGTTCTTGGACTTCGATTATTTCGTTATTCTGGGTTATATGTGGTACTTGGTGTTGGACGCCTTTTCTGATTGCTTGGGTCTTACACATTTCTCAATACCAAAACACATACCAATATCACTGGAAAACTGTTCAGTCAGATTTAATAGGTTTGTTAACTGATTTTGTGTACTTGCATATATTTTTATGTCATCCATATACAGCAAGTGACTTATTCTGTTTTCTCTTTGTTTGTTAATTCTTATATTGAACCCATAATTGCAGCTGTTCAGGATATCCGAGAGGGGATTTACTGCTAAGCAGAACCATAACGGGCTAAGAGAATCGCCTTGAAAAATTCCTCTTCGGATCATTATTGGATCTGACTGAATTGTTCGTTCATTTAAGGTTATTTGGAGGGTGGTCTTCCAAAATTCCATTTGAGAAAAGTGCTGATTTTAGTATCAATTTTGTATAATTCCAGAATTTTGCATAGCCAGGAATGAGGGACAGAATCGTAAGCTTTCTTATAATCAATAAAAGCAGTATATATGTTTCGGTTTTCTTTTCTAGCTTGTTCACAGATGATGGAATCTATGATTAATTTTAATGTAAACGATATAACAAAAATAATTTCGGACACAGTAAAGGCTGAAAACAACATTTTATTGAAGAAAATCACCGAATTAGAAGACCGACTAAGTGATATGAGTGTTACAAATCAACAACTACTATTATTACTGCAAACGAGACACTGTAAGTGCGAAATATCATGCGAGAAGAGTGGTCCAAATAAAGAAATAGAAGACGACATGAGCGACCTGGAGACATCAGATGACACGATTATCTCGACTGCAATAGATAAACAAGCAGAAAAAGCTCAAAAAACCTCCACAAACAATGAGCAAAAGAAGAACTTTATCAAGTCGACAAAACCGATAAACACTAGAAAAGATACAAAGAAAACTGCAAATATACAAGGGACGCTCGAAAATTCCACAAATTTTAAGGCAACCTCTCGGAAACTTTGGCTACATGTGGGACGCTGCGATAAAGATACCACAGTTAATCAGATCAAAAAGCATGTGAACGAGATCTGGAAGGAACACCGTTTCGAAGTGGAAAAACTATCATCGAAGGGATCCAATGCTTCCTTTGGGGTGAGCGTTGATTATCATCAACGGGCGGATTTGTATCTCATACGCTAGAACCAGTGCTGTCGCGGCGATAGTTTGATTACAAATATATTTTTCTTTTGAACTATTTCAACATAATATAACATTTCAAGATCACAAATCTGTGGTCCTGTGGTTGAAAAATTAAAAAGGGCATCAATTATTATTATTTGAAGTAATATAGTAATATAGAAGTAGTTTTTTTACTAGCTGTAAACACTCCTAGCGACGCACTGGCTACGACCTTGTGGACCAGATGAAGGCGTCCCCGCTACTCGCCGTAAAACACACCTTACTTCAACTGGGGGATTGCAGCGGTTAAAACAAATTCCCGCGTACTGATTATCATACAGACCTAATACAAACATTGTACGACCCAAATTGCTGGCCCAATGGTATTGTGGTTAAACAATTTAAATTTTTTCGAACAGCGCAAAAATCAACGGGAGTCTTTAGCAAATAAAAACTATGATCTTCTCTTATTAAACTGTCAAGCCATCACAGCAAATAAATGTGACATATTATATGTATAGGGATATTCTCCAAGAATATGGTAAGATAAAATTTTTGTGTCTTACTGAAACCTGGTGCACTGTTACCAACGTAGAAGCAGTACATATCCAGGGGTATAAACTGGCAGCATCATTCTCCAGGAAAAATTGCAAGGGTGGTGGTGTTGGTATTTGGTGTGCTACTGACTTGTCGGTTAATACGCTAAATTTATCAGAGCATTGCGTGGAAAAACATTTTGAAATTTGTGGAATATCTTG